GATGTTATATATAATTTTTATTTGACACCATGAAAAATGTAATGCCTTGTAGTCCAACATAAGCTAAGGTGGCTCTGATACTGTTCACTTGTATTTTGAGTAGGTCCAACTCTGAACTATTTTTTAGCTGTTAATTATCCAAATGCCCTTTGTTGTGTTTTCATGCCACATTTATGTTATTGCTGCTACTGCCTTAAACTCTTTTTCACATCATTGATGAAAACAATACACATTTACCAAAGAAAACAAATCTATAGCAGTGACTCAGCAGCTGTTATACCACTCTGTTAGGCTACAAGCATTCTAGGAGAGAACCAATTTTTATTCCAACTGTTTCATCTATTTGAAACTCAAGTGGAGTTAACTGTATTTTTAATTATATCATTAAATAGATTATTTTTAATAATTTGTTGTTGAACACATGTTAAAAACATTGGATTTTGTTCTCTGAAATTTTGTTTTATTTTATTCATAATCAAGTGTTTTTTCTTTTATCAATTTTAGCTTTTATGATACTAGATTAATAAATCACTAAAACAATTATGTTGGGGATAACTTAATTAAAATTGATTATATCACTTTCGTGAGAATTATAGAAAGGAAGAATGTTTTGGGGGATTTTAGGATTGACATACAAGTTTTTTTATTAGCATCAGCTGAACCTGGTCATGCTTAGCAAATTCTTAAGTTTGAGCCTTATTTCTTGCTTAAAATTTGAAAAAGAAATTTTAAGCGGTCTTAAAAAAAACACCTGAGCTGGTCTTGATGCTTAATAAAGTTGCATTAAAAAATTTGAGTCTTACTTCATGCTTAATTTTGTGGATTAATCTTACCCTTGTCATGCTTATAAAAAAAACAAAATAAAAAGAGCATACTACCAACTTCAGAAACCAAAGTGGTGCCACTCATGCCTAGAGAGACCTGATTTAAATGAGAGGGTTGTGGTAGATATAGTGGACACATAAACTTCAAATCATTAATTCCTGATCTTTTGTTGCTTTCTCCATAATAAGGTTTTCTTTTTCTCAGATTCTCTCACACTCAGTAACCTCTTGTGTCTTAGTGGCTTTATTGCCTTGTTTGGATGAATTGATTAAAAAAAAAAAGTGCTGGGGCACAAGAGTTTAGTCAATCAGTGATATTGAAACAAAATTTAAATTAAGTGAATCAGTCCAAGATGCGTTTCAGTAATTGAGGATGCAAAGTAACTGCTAGCCTAATGTGTGAGAACGAGTCCCATGATAGGTTTTGTTTGATAAAAAAGCTGCCAGTTAAAATAGTTGAAAGATATTTATTGTAGAATTTTGAGGGGATAAACTTTGATGCAGCAGCTGCTCATCTCAAGAAATTCTCCTTCATGCCAGGTAATGACTCAATTTGCTGGTAACATGCAGTTTGTAGTTGTATTCTTCCTTAACACCTTTTGTTATTGGGTACTCATGCATCCTGTTCCACAAATTCTCTGGTCATGATCAACCCATATCATCCTGTTTGGGTCAAATTTGGCTGAAAACGGTTTCTTATATTTTAGTAGCAGTGATGTTGATGTTGAGATGAGCTGTATTATCCATGTCAAGCTTGATATTTCCAACTCAGCTGCATTTGAGGGTGTTACTTACTGTTTATGAAGTATGTCCATCTTCTTCTCCTGCCAGGCCAATTTATTTGCAAATGACTTTAAGCAGTCCATATCCACCAAGGCCACTCTCTTGATTTCATTGATGTGAACCTCTAAGACAGGTAGCACCTCATTCACAACTTGCTTGGGGAAGAGGCTGGCGATAACATCTTATTCCCTTCCTCTTTTCCCAGACACTTGATACTGGAAGCAATGCATTGTTGCGCATATCCTTCATGGCTGATAGGCTTGTGTATCTTCTCAAACCAGGCAGTTCTTGGAAAAGTGATTCCACTCAGAGCATCAATAGCATTGCATGCCCTCCTGATGTTTAACAGCTGCCACTCCGACTGGTAAGACGCTAGCTGCAGCAATTTCCTCAGTCACAGTTTGATCCTTCATTATAGCCTGGGTTTGGTCCAACAGTTGACTTGTAGTCATGTCTTCCATCCAGTATTTGCTTGACATGTGCTGGCAGTCCTGCTATGAATACACATGCCACTCCTTGCTTAGATATCTCGCCAAATAGTCCTGCTAGCTTCTTCAAATTGCCTAGAACACATCGACAGACTCGTCCAGGTGCAGTCACCACTGTGGCACCTTGCATTATTAGAAATATTCATAGAAATATGATTTAATTTTTTCTTACTCGGTTTACTAAACAGGTTGTTGATTTTTTTTAAAACAGAAAATAATTGAGTTGAAAATAATTCACTAAGATTGTACTTGGACGATCCTAAGGGAAGAAGAAGGAAGGGGGAAAGAGAGAGGTCGAGAAATACAAAAAAGCGGTCATTAACAAAAAACACGAGTCAGAAAGATATCTTAGCTAGCATGTTGACCGAATTTTTTAAAGACAATTGGAAGAATAGAATTAGAAATAATAAAAGAAAAGAAAGGGAAAAGACATGATATCAAAACGGGCCGCTTTGATGAAAACCAGATATCGGTCAAAGCATCTAGCCTACTTTTTATGTGAAAGACACCTTATCAATTTAGATAAAGGGAAATTTTGGGAACAATGAAAACGAAAATCTTAATCAGAGAAAAAGTGCTTTTGGGTTGAGGGGGGTGACCGGTGGAACGGTATACAGATTCTGACCTGTTAAAAATTAGAACCCCCACATTGACGAGTGAAAGATGTTTTCAATTCAGATAAATTAAGATTTTCTGACTGCGGGTCTGACAAAAAACAAGAGGTGAAAAAAACGATTGTCTCAGATCACAGATGGCGACAATATTCTTTCCTGAAGTCACAACTAATTAGCGGCGGGCTGGTTGACAGAGCCCAGGTGAGAGAAAGCCAAGATTGTCATTTTTAAATGCGTGCAGAAAGGGCAAAATTGGATTTTGTTTTTTTTAAAAACAAAACGATGTAACCACGCCCGAAAGGAGGAGAAAGGATGCTCGATCAATAACAATTGGTCGGAAACGGTCACGTGATCTGCAGAAAAGAAGAGAAAGAAATGCCCGATCAGGAACCATTGGTCGAAAAAACGGTCACCTGACATACGAGAGACTAAGAGAGATGGGTGTGCACCTCCCACAAAAGGCACTGTGAGGAAGTAGGGGTGAAAACAATAGCGATAATGGGAAATCAAAAATAATGCGACTTTTGGAGTTATTGAAAAACCCTGACGCCGACAGACCCACCCCAGTTTGTTCTTGGCGTCAATAAAAAGCAGGACCCCAGTCGACAGAAATCAGTTGGAGTGGAGTTGCAGCTGGACCGGGGCAGGATAGAGCCTGAACGCTGGCATCGGGAACCCGATTCACTCGCCCCTTTGCGGGCAAAAAGAATCCTCAGACAAGAAATCCTTCCAGCCCAAGTCGAAGACAGAAGAGTTCAGCCCGGACGGCAGCGAGAAGAGATCACCTCGGACGACAGAGAGTTGCGAGCAAGAGATCCTTCCAGCCCAAGTCGAAGACAAGAGAACTTCCAGCCTAAGTCGACGAAGAAGAAGAAATACAACCCAAGTCGAAGACAAGAGAACTTCCAGCCCAAGTCGAAGACAAGAGAACTTCCAGCCCAAGTCGAAGACAAGAGAACTTCCAGCCTAAGTCGACGAAGAAGAAGAAATACAACTCAAGTCGAAGAAGAATCAACTGCGAATGATCGATAGAAATTAGCCCCAGTGTCGAACCAAACCACACTCCGACATACACAATTCTAAAGAGTAGGCAATTCGAAATCTTTAGGTTGTGTGATAGAAGCTTGGTGCCATAGTCCACAGAGCGGGTTGGGAAATGAGAACAATTTTGTTTTTTATGTAGCGGACATTAAGATATAAAAGGTTGTTACCCATTTTTTTTCATCAGCAATCTTTTGTCTCGTGAGTTTATTTTCTCTTTTATTTGTGTTTTGCCACCCCGTCGGACTCAACATTGTATCGCCCCAATCCCTGCTGGTCCCGTCTGTCTAAGATCTAAACACAGCGTGGGTAGACAGACCGAGATCGGTACAGTTGCTTTAGTGACCAGGTATTGGGCGAGTCGGGAAAGGCGAGGCTGGTGATCATCTGACCAAGGGGTTGGAGCGTGCACGCTTGGACCCAGGAGGAGCGACGTCACCGTTGGCGCCCGAACCAAAGGATCCGACCCTGGGCCAGGTGTGTAACCGTCACACCACCCACGAACTGTTTGTAGGCTAGGAAACAATCTGATGCAAAGGCAATCCACACGGCTCATTTTATCTGTTCAGCATCTGCTTTTGGCTCTGTACTTAGCTGCTGGTAGACAGCAAAAGCCCCACCTGTTAATCTCAAAGGAAGTTCACATGTTCAACCTTTTTAATTCCACACAGATCACAAACAAGTTCTTCTTTTTCAATCCATTCAGTAACTGTCTGTCTGGTCACTGAGCCATCAAATTCAAGTGTCAACTTGATGTCAAACATCCTATCCATCATGATGCTGAAATAGCCTGTTGTAGAGTTTTGAATTCTTGAGGGGATAAATTTCAATACAGCAGCTGCTTGTCTCAAGAAATCATAGAGCCAATTCACCGGTTACATGCAGCACCTGTTTATATCTAAATCAAGAAGTCAGTGATTGGTTGAGGTCTGACCAAAAATTTGCATCATGTTCTCATATATGAACAAGTCATATGTATGCTTTCTTTCTTTTCCAACGTAGGATACATGCAATACGTTATCACTTGGTTTGACAAGCTAAGTCAACATTTTCTTTGCTACAATATTACATTAGGGAAGTTATACCAAGACACTCCAGAGCATGTAGTGGAGGACTTTGTGATAAGCATCCAATCAAAAACTGTATGAAATTTGGTGATTGATGAATTTAAAAAAAAAAAAAAAAATCATTACTCCTGTATTTTAGAAAGTAAATTTTTTCATATTGCAAAATAATTTTTCTTCCACCAGTCTATTCAAAATATTGTTGCCATGGATATCCAGGCAGACCGTATCACTTGGTTGAAGATGAGTCGAGATCTGCATGTTGATGATTGGCAACAGGTCAAGATCTTCAACAAGCCTTATGTGAAATATGAACCTGCTGTCTACATTGAGAAGGTAAAGTCTTCTGTTAGATTTTTGTTATGTAATATCTTTAGCTTTGCTAGTTAGTTGTTATATTTTTATTATATATATAAATAAAGTACAAAGAAGAATTCAGGTTATTGGTCCTGACATCTCAGCTTCAGTCACTTTCCCACTGCTGTACCATAGCTTCCATGCATTTTTTAAAAATATTTTCATGGTAATTATTCTGATGAGGTTTCCTCTTTGATACCTAGACTTTATGAATTTAAGCACAGTACTCATCATCATGCTGCAAGATCTCATCATTTTTAGTCGTTAGCAAGATGTAACCATAAATTCTATGCTAACAGTTACTTGTCTTGCACTTCTCACTTGTGAAATGGTAACAGGGAACTGAACCTGTTCAAATGTTTAATTGCATTAAATTACAGGATGATGATTTGGATAGACTACTAATTGGATAATAATTATTAAAATGCTCAGAAGAGTAGGTGAAACGGTAAATAAAATAAATAAAAGGAATGAATTAAGAATTACATTTTAAAGAACAAAATGAATTTAAGAATACGTCCAAATAGAATTGAACCCAGAACACATTATACTAGTGGTACCACTCAACAAAGCTAGCAATTGAAGATGAAAGGTAGAAGAGACAGATGAGAGAGAATAGCATGAGGGTTACAGAACTCTTTCAGCTTCTTGCTTTCCAGTCAACTTTGATCTTCAAAAATTTGAATGTAATGTCAATTATTTTCTGTCTTCTTAATTCTGGTTCTTTTATTGTTCTCTCCTTATATTCTCTCACACTTAGTAACTTTTTTTTGCCTTGCTTGGGATGAAATTTAAAAAAAAAAAAAAAAAAAAAAAAAGTTCCCAAATAATTATCCTTGGGAAGCTGTCAGTGATTCTAGGTAATTGATTACTGCACTAATGATGGCTTTAAGTTTATTACATGTTTTCTATTCATTGTTATCCTAGTTTTGTGTTGTTAAGAATGCATAAGGATTAAATCTATCAAAATCAAAAATGTTGACACTTATAATAGGATACATTGTATGCACCAAATGAGATAGTTAAAGATTTTCCACTGGTAATAGTGATCAGAATTTCAAATGTGATGGTACTAAGCACTTTCTACTTGGCATTGTTTCACCTATTTGGTAGACCTGCTTTAAGGTTGAAACCAATGCTAATAATTAATGTTTGAGCCTAGGTCACTGGGTGGGGAGAATACAGGAGTTCCATTCCTAATGCACTAGCGATTTCTTGTGAATACATCACTCATCGATGCTAATGCAATAGTAAAATAATAATCTAGGAAATCTGTTAACATAATTAAGACTAAAAGAAACACATGGTAGACAAATATAATACGTTTTCTTCCAATGCATTGCATGCCTCTTATGCAAGAGGCAGACAACAGAAGTTTGGACTAGACACTTACTGTATTTCAAATTTTTAAACTTGGAGGGCTTTTCAAACTTCAAAAGATTGGTGCAGCACAGTCTTACTAAACTGTTTCTCCCATTTGATAGGAAATAGCAAAAGCAGACTTATTTTCAGAGATCAAAGTCTGAGCCTGATTGAAAGCCAAGGTCTCAGAGGCTGATTTTCTTAAATGGAACAATCTTTCTAACCACATTTATTAAATATTTAGATTCATTTTTGTGTGCTTTTTACTTTTACAGAAACAGTAATTTGTTTTAATTCTTTTTTATTTTTCTTTCAAGATGACAGAGGTTGTGAATAGCCTTCCTTCTGCAGGCATCTACACACTTGAAAACAAAATTTACCGTTATCCAAGTCTTCGAGTGGTTCCATTTGTCTTGAATCTTCGCATCATTGAAGCAATGTTGGTTTCAATGCTTAACAAAAACTTCAACACAGATTGTACACACAGAGTGTACACCATCAAACCACAAGCAATTAGTAAACTGTTCAACTTGTCCATAGGTGGAGAACGTGTTAGTGGACAGCACATATTTCGGGACATTATCAATAAGAAATCAGACCCTGATCTTGGAGTGACCATGTCTAATCATCTCTCCAGCCAGTTCTTCCAATACGATGGGATTCAACAAGAGAAGATTACTTGCTGTTTACTACAGGCACTTACATTTTACAAATTGATTATCTTAAAAGAATAAAATTTAGTGATTATTATTTATTTGGTTGTTTTAAATGATTGCTCCCATAGCTTGGAAGATTGCATAACTTCATTCTGTAAGTTTGTGATTAGTCCATCCGAGTAAGAACTATTTAGTCTATTGTTCTCATTTTTGTTTTGTTACATTTTAGGAAAACCTTGCGGGTAATAAGAGAAATAAAAAGAATGAGATCAGTAGTTTGTGAAAACCATTGAAAGACTGTATCACCTTATTTTATTGACCCTACTTTAAATCTTATCACTGTACAGTTTTAACATAGAAATTTCAATGACAATACCAAATAAATGAACAGGTAACAACTTTAGTAAAACAAAAGATTTAATAGACAACAAAGTACAATATGGTGTATACTTATAAGTCCAGCTTAATTTTCAACTGGTGGGGATGTTTGGAATGAACATATTAAGTTTGAAAACAATTTTCTAGGTGTCAGTTTCTGTTTTGTAGTACTTTGTACTTTTTTTTTTGTTTTTTAAATGTCAAAATATAAGATTATTATATTTATAAAATATGATAAAAACAATGTCTTGAGAGAAATTAAACTCTTATATTGGTAAATGTAGCAAGGTTCCTCTTAAATCATTGGTTATGCCAAGACTTAATATTGGTCCAGGGATTACACCCACAATTATGTTAATAAATCCACTAACCAATGCTTTAATCTTTCAGGCTATTGTCCTGTGGACTCAGTGAAAACAGAACTTGCAATAACTGAACCAAAATGTTTATATCGCTACAACTTCCTTTGAAGGTTACTTAGAGTAACAAACACCTGAAGAAGGCCAAAAGGCACAATGTTGTTACAATTACAGCGTCTCAGACAAAGATGAAGAGAACCTTAGTCCAACTAAATAAGACTACTACTACTTATAAGCTTGATTTTCACAGGGTGCTTCTAAACTAAAAAAATATTAAGAGTGGTACCGTGCAATTGGATTAGTTGTTAGCAAGATAGGAGATAAGTAATAAATCGGTTAGTATAGTTGCTTCCCCTGATCGGTTTTAATCATGAGTTTCATTTTCGCAATACATCTTGAAAATCGATATAAATTGGATGGTTCCATAAACGTTGTTAACTGATGGTTTTCTCTTTGTCGATTACCTTGAGAAGATCAAGATATTCTTGACGAGCAGGTTTACTGTCAGCAGGACGCATGTGTGGGGTCCAAACAGGCACACCTTTGAAGAGACGCAGTGCTTTTATATAATCCTTAAAAACAAAAGAGAGAGGAGGATGAAAAAGAATAGTGACATTTTAAAGTTTCATTGAAAAAAAAGAAGGGGTGTGAATACAGGTATAGTTAAGCGGAATTGACAAAAATTCTCAAGAGGAGGAATAAGGACAGGGCAAAATATGAGACAATTATAAAGACAGTAAAGTGGTTATAGCCCTCTAGAATGGAAAAACGTGTAAGACTAAAAAAGAAAGAAATCCAAGCACGAATATGTAGAATTTGGAGAGAGATTTTTTAGTAGAAACCAACAAATACATCTTTGGTAGTCATTTAGGAGTATAAGGTTTAATATGAGAGACTGATTCAGTGTTACATATTCTTTTCTCATGTATCAACAGAAATTAGATTAGTATAAACAATACTAAAAAAAAAAAAAAAAACATTACATTCTGTGAATTATTTTAATATTCTCTATAAACCAGATATTTTGTAACTGACAATATAAAAAAAAACAAAAAAAAAAAAAAAAAAAAAACAGTTATTCTGTGAGATAGATGGACACAATGCAAATTCCAGTGATGAGAATTAAATAACATTCACATTTTTATTTGAATTTGGTATGTGTAGATAGGATTTCAAATTATATCACAACTCCAGACTGAAGCCAACAAATTGAATATTTCTGGTGAGAAGAGGGGAAAGACTTTAATGATTAAGCATTTCATTTCTATAATGTGCATTGCAAAGAAAAAAAAAATATTGTTAGTGATCAGGAATCACAATAAGTTTGACTAATGTTAAGGCTGTTATATGTATTATAGAGCAACTATTGGCTATGTTCCTAACTGGTGCTCCATTTCAATCACTTAATAGTTTATGACTCTGGTATTACAATAATAAACTGATTTGGGACCTTATGCCTGCAAGAATAATGAAATCTTTTCAATTGCATCCTAGTGTTATTGGTTAGTTGGTTAAACAATGAACATTGTGGAAGTAAGCATTCCTTTATGTCATGGTTTTATAGCTTCTACAAGCTGAAAATTATTATTTATTTTGTAAAAGACCCAAACCAACAGAAACTCTATTTGATTAGATGTAAAAGTATATTTTAAGCTATACAATTAAAAGTTAACTAACAATGTTTGATTTGAGATAGTGACTATTGAGTGATACTGAATCAATCAGCGTTCATATTCTGATGAAGAGTCTTTTAAAGCATACAATTTAGCAATATTTAAATATATCTACCATATATTTTCACATATATGGCAACCTTTAGATAAGATGAGGTAAAAAATTAATTACAGTAAAACTTATTATATAAACATGTTATTGGAAATGTTATGTACTGTATCCTTAAAAATTCCAAATAAATGAAATAAAAGCGATTCTTTACCATGTTTTTCGGACATACGTCCCCTGATTCTTCTTCCTCTTCTTTTCCTATATCTAAACAGTTACAAACAGCCTGGTGTGCTAATGGCTATTTACTTTTTTTTAATGAGAAAATATTATGTTGTCCTAAATGTTATTACTGCCATAATTAAAATTGCCACGATTATTGAAAGTTTAACAAAAGAAAGTTTGCTGTGAACACAATCATAACTCAATGTTTACCTTTTCACACCTAAGCTTGCATGAATACAAGTTGATTTCATTGATATGGAATTATTTTTTGAATAGGCAATTTATTATGGAGTTATGCCAGTAATATATAAGGTAGAAATGATTTTATTACTTTTATTATCAGTTTATTTAATAATGTGTTTCTTTTTTTAGAACTGTAGTATAAGACAACCCCTAATTTTTAAAGGTGATTTTGAGGATTTAAAGAACAACTATGTGGAAATATATGGTATATCTATATTAGAGTAATTAAACACTTTGTATACTTAAGTTAGATTCTGAATAATAGAACAATATAGATTAAAGTTTAGAAATCAAATTTATCACCATGTTTTGTGAATGAAATAAAGCACAATGAAGTAATATTCTCAAGAACTCAAGAAACAAAGCTGAGCTTACAGATGTGTCAGTTAATGGTGCTTTGTGAAGGACCAAGTTTTGCTGACAACATAAGTACTTGTGCTCAGCTGTTATTCAACCATTTCAAGCAAGGCCTCATTTTACACAACAGAAGGTCACCCTGACCTTGGTTCATCTTTGAGGCTGGTCACCTTGAAATGTCTGAACCAGTTTTGAGTCACACATTTGTTAAAATTAATGATATGTCCTAGGCTTTCTATATCATTAATTTCTTTTGCCGCTGCCCTTGCACCCAGTCCTTTTTCATAGGCAGCATAAAATGGCCCTAACTGACAATGAGTGATGAAAATATTGTAAAGCTGTAAAATAAAGAACAATGTTTAGATGTTAAATATGAAAATAAATAATTCAGCAACAATTGTATCAAATGATTGATATAACATGGAGATACAAATTGCCAAAAATCATCAGTGAAAATCTGAAAAAAAAAAAAAAAAAAAAAAAAAACTTGGCATAACCTTGTAAAATAAGGATGAAAATCTCAGTCTGATGAACATATTCAATAATTAACTGAGTATTTTAAGTTGAAACTTAAAAAGAAAACAATATTAAAGACTGATTTCTAGACACGTACTGATCCTACTAAGATTGATGTTCATTATGTGTTCAACACTAAATTCACTTAATGCCCTACTTAAGACAGAGTTCAACGACATTGCCTTGTACTGGTCTCTTCTATATAAAAAAAAAAATTGCTTACATTTTTATCTAAGGTAAATCTGTGGTAGATTCCAGCAGGCAACACAAGCATGTCTCCTTTTAGGACTTCGATACGGATCCACTTGTCATCCCGATCTCGCACATCAAAATATCCACTGCCTGCCATAATCAGGCGAATTTCTTCATCGTCATGAAGATGTTCTTTAAAGAAAGTCTTTAACTGAAATAAAAGCATTTAAAAATAAATTTTTAAATCAATCAACACACATTTAAAAATGTTAAAACCTTTTTTATATTTTAAACATATTTACTTATATATGGAAGAAAACCTAACAAATCTTTTCCTCATTCACTTGAAAAATAAATATAGATTCAGGTTTATCATATTCAAACTTATATTGTTATTCAATACAAAAGAACTATATTTTGGTTTATTGTTTTGTTTCCTACTTGAGACACATGACAATATATGATACACCAAGTTAAAATGAAAATAAATAAAAAAGGTCATAAAATGCACTATACAAATAGATTTTACAACAAAGAAAAGGAATTTTCTCTCATAATATATAACTTCCACTTGGGAATCTGATAAAATATTAACATATAGAATTATAAATATTCAAAATATTACTTCATAAAAGATAGAATAGTGATTGTAAACAAATTATCATATATTTTTAGTTACTCAATACCTAATTAAAATTTCAGTTAAAAGTGAATGCTGGCAGAACAGCAAATCCAGAACCGGTAAAAAGAAAATGACTAACAAAAATTTTATAATGGTGCAATTGAAGGCAAAGAGAAAATTGTAGACTCATTGAAAAACAAACTTATGTTTCGCAACATTAAAAATGGAAGCATTGCTATAAGTACTTGTGTAAAAATTATTTTGTTGAAAGGTGTTATGAATTGAAATTATATACATGTGTTTTGAGATAGTTGGGAATAGCTAGAACAGTGATGAATTGTCAAGGAGGCATATAGAGTAGTAAGTGATGAAAGTAATTTTATTGATCTTTCAGGAAGCTACAATCATGGCTAAAGAATCTGCAGTAGGCCAGTAAGAAGAACAATTTGTAAGAGTTAAGATTAAGCAAAGGTTACTAAGGATTATTAGAAGCAATTACTATCAAATAATGGACTTCAATTTCACCTATTGAGAATAACAATCATAATTTACTATTTTATTTTTGGATAAGTAATATACTGAAAATATACCATATAAGATGTGACATACTACACTTCACTGTGCAAATATGAATAAACTATTTATTTCAAAAATGATAAAGAAAAATAAAATGAATATCAATATATGAGTGCTGTATTGAAATTAACAAGCAGTTTCTATCTGAATTCATGGGATGAGAAGTTATTATTTGCATTATTTACAGTCAGATTAATCTCATTTTTGTTATTGTTGCCAACATTTAAGCCATTTTGTCCTCTGTTCTTCTTTACAGAACAATAGCCTAATGGATTAAGGCATTGGTTCATGAATTTGATGTCATAGTAATTGTGGGTTCAATCCCGGGGCCAGGTAGGACATATTCTCAGTGGAAACAATAAGCAATAAAGGAGTGCTACTAAAAAAGAATGAGACAAGATCCCTAGACAGTAGAATGAGAACAATCCACTCCTGCTTGATTAAAATTTCCTGAAGGTTACCCAAATGGACGAGCACCTGATAAAAGCCAGAGGACACAATAGACAAAATGTTGCAATAATAATAACAAAGATTAGAACTTTAGTATTTCATTTCAGAGATGAGTAATTTTCAATATACTTGCATTATTCCAAACTGTTGTTCTCATTTTGGCTAATATTGATGTTATTATAGACATTTCAACCAATTACCCTCTGGTTGTCATCAGGTGCCCATTAATTGGATATCTGTTGATTGTGATATTTTGTCCTTGCAATATCAGTTATTGTACATGCCTACTGAGTGTACTTAACTATCTGATCCAGGGATTTAATTCACAATCACTTGATGACAGTAACATATGAATAATCAACTCCTATATATCCACTATGCCATCATCATGAAGGACATTAGTAGAGCATTTTTGGAGCCTTTTTTCATATATATATATATATATATATATATATATATATATATATATACACACATACACACACATCTATATGAACAAAAATGAGAACAATAGTTCAAAATAGTACAAATATAAAGAAAAGGACATTAGTCTGAATGTAAATAACATAAATAATAAGCATTTATTGGTTATAAAGGATTACAATAAAGCATTCATAAAATAGTAAAAGGGAAAAAATAATTTTCTTTGGAATATAAATATGAGTCAATGTTCATAGGATTCAACTTTAATGTTTTCTTTTGAATATAAAAATATGATGCAAATACTTAAAGTTCCAAACACTTAGGGTTCCCACAAATCTGTGTAGAAAATTTTCCAGGTCTTTCCCAGGACTATGTTAAGTTTCAAGGACATAGATCACATGAAAGCAGTAAAGAAATCAAAGTGTTGAAGGCTAAAACACAACCGAATGCAAATCTGGTTATGTTACACATTTTGTGTAGCATTCTACAGTTTGGAATTCTACTATACTTGAAAATTTTGAATTATGCACTTTAATTCTTACTGCTACACATTTCAGCTGTCTACACTACTTCTAGTTTGTGAATGCCACAAAAATTCTTGACTGCTGCACATTTCCTCTGAAGCATAAAAAAAAAAGAAGAAAAAAAAAAAAAAAAAAAAAAAAGAGAGACTACACATTTTAGCTACTCATAGTTTTTGCTGCACATGGTACAGAACACAATGTTAACATTTTATCCATTTATCTAGTTTAGCATTCCACTCCTCTTTCAATTTTTACATTCTTGCTGGATGTGAACACTCCAAAACCAAAGACTGAACTAAAATTCCATCAACTGTGCATAGGCTCTGCACATAACTTCCATATTTATTCACACACTCAAAGAAAAAATAAGCAATACAATCCAGAATTTCCACCTACTAGCACCCACTTCTGCCTAAAGGAACATAACAAAAACTGTAGCCAATCTGAGCTTAAGGAAGGACATTAAAAGCCCATCAAAAGAAACATTTTCAGCAGTTGGATAGCATCTTGGCCTGAGTTCAGATTTCATTGGAAAGCGACTCCCCATCTCCAAAAGACAGCTTGACAAAAGCTCTCGCCGCAGTAAGTTACAACTTGCCCTCTCTCCCTCCCTCCACCTCTGTGGACACCTTTTCCAACTCCACTTATCTCCTCCTTTCAACAAGAGAGATTTACACTGATTTATCATTTTTTTGTATTTTACGTGAATACAATTGTTTATTTTTTTTAAACCTTCATTGTTTCTTTGTTCTGCCAGCATATGCTTAATATAACAATTTTGAGATCTCTATGGATTTATCCTTTGCAGATCTTTGTATGGCATCAGACTTTGTGATAAGTGTGAAATTTTGAGTTTGTTTAGCTTTCTTTGCATAGCTGTCAGCTGACTAGAACAAATCTTGTGTACAACTTTCAAGCTTGTCTTTTCTTTTTCAGTTCTTTAATTTCCATAAGCATGGATTTCTGTTTTTGTCCAAGAGCTTCTTCCTGCACTTTTTTCTTCCCAGATTCAAGGTATTGGTTGAATGCTACTCTGGCATTGGAAGCACTGCAGTGAAGATCTTTAGTAATAGAACATTCCCAGCACCTCCAATTTGAGGCCAAATAGTTCCTGATAATGTACTGTGCAACCAGAATCTGCTGTTTCATATTGTCAGTGGAAATTTCCTTATTGACCGAGAAACTTCTCTCCACTGAGGCCTGTCCATGAGAGAGTACCAACAATCTGCAAACAAATTTTTTGATATTCTTTGTTGCTGGACAAAGAGTAGAACAAAGTGCCCAGACATTCTTCATGCCTGCTGAAGTTCTTGAAAGCAATATTTCCAACAGCCTCCTCCTCAAACTCTTTGTACTGACTGATGATGTAATCACAATCAGACTTGTTGACTTATTTTCTGTCCATCATGTGGCAAAGACATTTTTGGAATGTCTTCTGTGACAATTTTTTGTTTTTCACAAATGGATCCAGGGTTCAGCCATGCAAGTGATCTTAGAAGAAGGTATCTAAGGGAAGAATTTTCCAAAAATTTCTCAATGATGGTGAACATTGTTGCAATTCTGCATGCAACCAGATCTTTTGTTGACATTTCTTTTTTTTGGATAAATCTTACCAGAAACCCACACTCAATCTTTGCAGCATCTTTATGCATGTTTGGGTCTGACAAAATTCTTACAAATTCATTTAGTTTGGAAAATGTAGTTATCTTTGTGTGCTCTTCCTTTACAAATCTTAAAAGTTTAGGTACTTCCATGAGATTGCTAAAAAAAAGAAAAAAAAAAAAAAAAGAAAGAGCATAGCATGATGAAAAAGACGCCAAACTTGACGAAAACAAAATTTTATTGTATAAATGCTTATGTTATTATTAAGAGAAAAGACCAAAGTTTGTTTTTTTTAATTATTTTTAAAATTTTTTCCTTTTTTTTTTATAACATTCTAAATTTCAATTAAAAAACCCTTGTCTCTCTTTGTATTACCGGAACTAGTAAAATAACATATACAATTTTTAGCAAGTTCTTTTTGTATGACACATTAATTTGGAAAATCTTGCAAAAATAAAAATAATTGTCGGAGGTTAATGAAACATTCAGAGACTATTCACAGATGATCGAAATTATTGTACATGTTTTTTTATTAAAGTCACAGCAGAAATATTTTTTTTTATATTTATTACACCCCCCATAACTAATTTTATGAAAACGCTAGAAATTCGATCGATTATAGTTTAGTGATTACAATAGTTAAAAGCACAAGGCTTTGAGGAATGCAAATCATGTTTTTTTGTTTTTAATTGGACCCCCACTACCTGAAAATCAGCTCTGAATTGTAACATACAAAACTCAATAAAACAAAGATATTATTTAATTTCAAATGCTTTTAATTGTTTTTATGAATATGGACAATATTTTCTGAAAGCAAAAAATTTTTTTCGATGAAAAATGAATTTTTAATACAATTATTTGTTATTTCTTTAATTATAATAGATTTTTACATTTAAGTTGTTAAAATATTATAAAATTAGTTAAAAGCCGCATCAGCTTTTGTAAGTGTCCTTATGAGAGAGATCTTTTTTAGCACACTGTAAATTGTATCATTTTGACTAATCAGAAGATCCGCAGTAATTAAGAAATGCAATTTTGTGTTTATAATCAGGCTGTAATTATAAAGTACAGAAGACCAACCAGAATACAATTAAGTTGTGTTATTCGAGTTAAGCATTGTTTTCCGCTGATTTGGCCTTTACTTTTATGAAACACATGTGTAGAAGTTAATTTGATTTTTCAATTTTAACTGAGAAGGGTACCTACAAGTATCAGTATCATCTTATGAAATTTATATGATCTTATTTTTATATTAATCTCAGTTATGACATTTTTCCATAAATGAAATATCAAAATTAATAAAATGAATGGAAATACAAATAACACAGTAAAATGTAAGAAAATGTACATAAAATTATAATATTTTATGTACACTTCTGATAAAATTTCCTAAGAAAAGGTACCTATAAATTAATTAGTTACCTTTCTTATGAAATTTAATGTCACTCTTAACAGTCTTATTTTAATTTCTTTATAATATATTTTCCATAAAGCATCGTAAACGTAAAGGTGAAAGCTAAGTACAAAAAAAAAAAAAAAAAAAAAAAAAATTAGAGTGCTGAAAGTTTTCCTTAAAAATAACAAGGTAAATAATAATTTCACTTCTCTTTCCATAGAACAAATTATCTGTCAATACATCATTCATCACCTATCAAGTGACGTGAAATGTTATGACCTGCTTTGTTTAATTTTCAAACTACATCTTTTAGACGCAGAAACTAAATAATGCTGGTTTCAAAATATTTTAAATAAACATTATAATTTCTAATTTTCTTAAAATAAGTTTCGAAAAAATTATAATTGATTTTTAAAAGAATTTCAAACTGAGATTTTCATTTTTTTTATAAAATGGAAAAAAATGGTCATGATCATCTGTCAATTTTGCTGACTCAAAAAAAGATTTTTAATGAAAATTTCGGACGTGCAAGGAACAATTAAAAATGTAAAAAAAATACCCTAAAAATACTTTGATCTTTCCTCTTAATAATAACATGAATATTTAGACGATAAAATTTTGCTTTCATCAAGTTTGGTGTCTTTTTCATCATGCTATGCTCTTTTTTTAGCGATCTCATGGAGGTACCTACTATAAATAGGTGAAGTTTTAAGCAATTATTACAAATAAATCATCATGTGAATAAGTCTTTTGGGTGTTGAGGTTGGTAATATTTTCATGGCATAAAAACTAGTTTTGTTTGGCATATTTACACACGTAGATTAGATACATATATTATAAAAATTCATCTTTAAAGAGCACCAACATTATTTGTAGAATTGTGCTGTTATTACATTTGCGATAATATTTTTAAATAATTATCTTTTCAATGTTCAGGGTTCGTACAGGTCCTGGAAACCTTAAACAGTCCTAGAAAATTGACAGGGCCTTTTCCGGGGCTTGAAAAGTCATGAAAAAACAACAATAGCCTAAAAGCTTCTTGAAAAGTCCTGGAATTTTCTAAATTATGCGGTTCACACAATGTTTTTCTCAATTCATGAAAGTCAAAATGTCAAATCTCAGAAATCTGGCTTTTTTTTTTTCAAGCTAAAATTGTCCTTTTAAAAAAAAATGTTTTTTAGTTGTTAGTAATAATATTTGGCAATTATTGCAAATGGTGGTTTGTTTCCTTGATTTGAATGAGTTCATGACCTTGTGGTTACTTCTGTATTTTCTTGTCTAGTTGAGAAAAAAAAAAGAGAGAATATGAAGGTGTCTTGTAGCTGCTAACCTCACTCAACAAGAGGAAAAGCAAAGATAAAAGTCGTCAGAGACAAGTAAACATTTCCATCAAAGATAAATTAATTCACACTCATTGAATTTGTAGTTGAAAGGAAAATAAATTATTTTACAATAATAAAATATATTTTAGTAGAATTTCGAAAATTTTATCTGTTTTTTTTTCATAATTTGAACAGTTGAAGAAATTTTATTCACATGTCAATTTCAAAAGTAAAAAGTCCTTTTGATTTCTAGTCAGTGGTGGGTGAGTTCATGCTGAAAAAAAAAAAAAAAAAAAAACCATTTTACGCGTCCCATGTCAATGTGTAAACTATTATTTTTTGTCTAATTTGTTCCCAAAAGTAACAAATTTGAGAATCAAATTGGACTCAAAGAAAATGTAGCCGGGGAAGGATGATAAAATGTGCCTTTGATGTGTTTCAAGATAGAGAATGCATCTTTTGAAAAAAAAAATAAATAAATAAAAAAAATAAAAATAAATAAATAGATAAATAAAAATGTTATTTTTAAAATTTGAAAGCTAATGACCTGTATTTCTAGCTTTTGTTGTGTGAAAAAATGATGAAATACATTAAAATTTATTTGGCTTTTATTGCTTGGTGTTAAAAAGTCCAATCTGGCAACCGTGTCCCTTAACTTTTGTATTTCTGCTATAGATGGCTAGAAAAATGTACAAAAAGAACGACTCCTAGACATTTGGCCAGATGTCATCAAATTTGTTAATTTCTAGAGTTTTCATAAAATTAGTTTGGGGGAGGGGGAGGGGGAGAGAAATAAATATATATATGAAAAAAATATTTTTTCTATGATTTAAAAAAAAAAAAAAAAAAATTCCATCATTTGTGAATAGTTTCTGAAAGTTTCATTGACATCCGACAATTATTTTTATTTTTGCAAGATTTTTCAAATTAATGCCTGTCTCACACACACACAAAAAAAAAAAAAAAAAAAACGTGCTGAAAATTTGTTATTTTACTAGCTCTCATAGAGGTACCTAATTTATAGTCAACTTACAAGTATAGGAAAGAAAGAAGAAAGCACAAAATTCGAATTAAAAGTTTTAGCTTAAAAAAAAAAAAAAAAAAAAAAAAAAAAAAAATTTTAAAAATTAAATTTTTTTTTTATTATTTTAAGTCATGTAAATCAATTACATAACCTATATACTTGATATTTAAAAGAAATGTCTTTCCATTAAAGAGCAATAGTGAGTTTTGAAGTCTGAAGTTAAACTGAGGTGGAAATAAAGATGAAAAAAAAAAAAAAAAAAACTAACTAAAATTTTGGACATGCTAGAAAGGATTAAAAAATATTCAAAAATACTTTGGTCTTCCCTCTTAATAATAACAAACATTTAGACGATAAAATTGTTTAATCAAGTTTGAGGCCTTTTTTCATCTTTTTTAGTGAAGTGCTGAACATACCATTCTACTAGAAAAGTTTCTGTTCAGAGAGAAAAAAGTTTTATAACCAAACAGTAAATATACAAACCAAATGTAAATTTAGTAATCAACATCAAAACCTGACCAGAATGCTTCATGTATATAGTTTGTAATCACCTTTTAAGGCATTTAGAGAAAAATAAAATGTCGCTTCACCTTATTTTCATAATCAGGAAGAGTGTCAGGATGGATTTCACACATGTCTTGATAATTGTAACATCGTTCTTTTCGTATCCGAGTAAATGTAACATCTTTTTCAAGGTCATCAACGTCAATCTGCACAAGGACAAAATTAAGTGTGAGAAAATAAAGGAGGAGAATAAAAAAGACATTTATATAAGACATAAAACTGAACTTGATAATAGACATTAAAAACAAAACAAAACAAAAACCTGATCAAAGAAAGACTGAAATTGAATTGCAACCAAAATAATCACTAAGTGGAAATTTCTAGAACATCAAATAAAAAAAAAAAAAAAAAAAAAAAAGAAAAAAATTGGTCCAATTATTGTGTTTTATTATTTTAATCTATTTACTTTTTTTTTGAGTGGTGGTCTTATCTATGTCAGTCTACATTTTTTCTTTAACAATGACATACTCCAAAATAATTAAGATGACAGTTAAGTAAAATCAAATTTCCAAGGTGGGCCTTAATTATTTAAGAGATTGGCACCTCACCCAATTTGAAATTATGTTAGACTGTGCTAAATATTAAAAATCTAATGGTAATAATATTAAAACACTGAATGACATAGTTACCAAATGAACAGCTCACTTTTGATAGCTCCAAAGAAACCACACAAAAAATAAATAATGAAAAATATCTAATATCTGATAAAGGATAAGATTATTATAAGATTTTAATCTATTAAAAAAAAAAAATAAATAAATAAATAAATGCAGTGAACCACAAACTTTTTTCTCTGGGCTTCATTTTCAGTACATTTCAAAAAAAAAAAAAAAAAAAAAAAAAAAGAGAGAGGATTAGAAGTCAGAACATTATCATTGATAACTCTCTCCTCCAATTTGTGAACACTAGTTACTATAATCTTAATACAATGCAAAAATATCACAATGAGAAAATTGGACAATAATCATTAATAACTATTTATACTGAGTCTCATGCATGCAGTTACAAGTGATCCAAATAATATTTTAATTTTTGAAATATTTATTTTTGGCATATGAATTTGTTGAAATTTCTAACCCCTGTCAGCTATATAATTGAAAATTACCAATGAACTTTGTCACATTTTGAACGCCTAGGAATGTTGGTTTCCTTCAAAAACTATCAATTTTATGTCTGAAATAGTTTGACTATGATTTAGGTTCCTGATTAAAAAAAACAAACGTTGATTTTTTCAGAAATGTGCATCCATAGTTTTGTCAGTGACGATGTCAATACATTTTTTGCATAATAAAAAATTATTTTTCAAAAATAGATGCAAATAATAGATTTTAATAAGCTTCCTAATTTATGATCTGTAAAAATATAACTTTTTAATTATTAAAAAGTTATATTTTTACAGATCATTAAAATTTAATAAGAGCATTTCCAGAGGTTTACTTTTTCAAATTTAATTTTAAAAGGATTATCAATCATTTTTTATTTATAATTGAAAAAAAAAAAATTCTTGTAAAAATTCATTTTTCAACCGAAAAACATTTTTGCTTCAGACTAAAACATTATCTTAATATATATTATTGATAAAAGCCATTAAAGGCTATTTTCATTAAATAATTATCTTAGTTTTCTTGAGTTTTGTATTTTAAATTCAGAGGTAAAGTTTGGGTTGTTGCAAATAAAAAATTTACATGAGATTGAGGATTTATATTCCTCAAAGTCTTTATTTAATTAAAACAATTACAGAGTTACACAAGTACTAGTTTTAAAGTTTTCATAAAATTAAGGGGGTATCAGACGTAAAAAAAAAAAAAAAAAATTCTAAAATGAATTCATTCATCTTATCTTACTTATTATAAAACACAGATTGTGTGTGTGTGTGTCTGTACGTTTATATATTGGATCGGATTTCCTAAATTTTTAAATCGATTTCAACAAAACTTCACATGACTGCGTAAAATTACCTTGCGGTGGTTCTGACAGTGCCAAAATTGGAAAAAACACAATTGTTTTTGCATGAAATCAATTTGAAAACAAGATAAAACAAGATTCTGTCACCAGAATGTAAGGGGGACAACTCATTGAGTTATACTTATAAAACCCAGGTTGTTTGCTTGCGTGTGTTCATTTATATATGGGATTGGATTTCCTACATTTTCAACCGATTTCAAAACTTCACTTGTTTTTGGCAGGTAGTTTCTTATTGTCTTGCACACTTTTTTCTTTATTTTTACATTCAGAATGCTTTAAAAATTTCATTTACAAGACAATTGTTTATAATAAAATTCTATTCAATCGATATAGACTCATAACGATTGAAAAACAATGTTTTTGTTTGAGTTTGACCAATTCGTAAAAAAAAAAAAAAAAAAAAATTAAGACATGCGTGTCCGTCAACCTTAAACAATGATCTTTGTCAATTTTATTTTTCAGTCTTTATGATGGTCGATACTTGATCTATCTCTTACTGTTACATCCCCGGGCAACGCCGGACTCTACTGCTAGTTTTTGAATAAGTTCGGAAAGTTTCATTACATTCCGACAATTATTTGATTTCTGCAAGAATTTCCACAATGTGTTTTCAACTGAAAAAAAAGAAAAAAAAAGAAAAAAAAAAAGAAAAAGATTTTCAACCAAAGTTTCAAACGTGCTAGGAATAAATTTTTTTTTTAATAATTTAAAACATACTTACTTAGGTCTCTCCTCTTATCAATAACAAACTTTTTGCGCGATAAAATTTGTTTTTATTAAGTTTGGGGCCTTTTTCATCAAGGTATACCTTTTTTTTTTTTTTTTTTTTTTAAAGCGAAAAAGTGGACACACCTAGTTTAAATGCGACGTCAATCATCATAAATTCAGTTCTTTTATTGTCCCGTTTCTTTCACTGTCAGTAACACCCTCGCGTCTTAGTGGCTTTTTTCTTTTTTTCTACTGATATGCTTTTGTGGTGGAATGATTTACAAAAAATAAACAAAATAAAATTAAAAAAACAAAAAAAAAAAAAAAACGCATTTTTAAAATAAATGAAATGCTTTAGTTTAGTTTATTTGAACTTAAATTTCGATTCTATTTAATTTGAAAGATAATGGTCTTAATCTGCATGAAAAGAAAATTAATTTGTATTCAAAGAGGTTAAACATTTTTTAGTACATTTTTTTGAATTTCTAAAAAAATAATGCTTTTATTTAAAACAGAATGATTGAAAATATTTTATTCACACATATACGTGAGCCTGTGATGTCAAAAGTAAAGGATATGAGAGTCTATATTCCTGTCAGAAAAAGCGTGGGAAAAAGTTAACAAAAATAAACCTAATGTAAGGAAAACCAACAGTGCAATAATCAAGAATTTGTTTAAATATGTTTAAAAGTAAAACAATTTATCTAGCTTTAACTATAACCAATAGTTTAAGAATATCATTTATCGCTCTATAAGCTTTTAAACTTAGTATAATGATTAATTTTATTTATCGGAGGAGTATTATGATTAATCTTCTAAATTCCATAGTACTGACTCAACGGGAGATATGGAATTAGAAGATTAATCATACTCCTCCGATATTGAATATAGATAGTAGTAGTCAGTCAAAAACGAGATGAGTAGTATGTCCTTTTTGTACATCCATACAAAAAATATGGTTGCTAAATGAAAAAATTAAACTTTATCAAATTATACAAGCTGAAGCACCAACCCTAAAAAATATTTTTTTGTTTTATTAAATTGTTTTAGCAGGATACAAGTAATTGAATTAATTTTTTTTACTGAAATAATCTTCAGAAATTTCTCCTTTAAAAAAAAAAAAAAATATTGGACGAACACTCCTCCCAAAATTAAAAGTACACACGCATTATCGAAAAGAGGTGGGAATGAAACATACCTTCCAAACAAAAATATTTTCATAAAGTTTTTTTTTTTGGACGAACACATCTGAAATTAAAAAGTACACTACACACGAGATATTTGGAAAGTGGTGTGAAAATCACTCACGAAAAAAAAAAAAAAAATCCCCAAAGAAAAGAACCTATTCACTAAATCATTCACTAATGAATAAGTACTGAAAGTTTAGTTTGAATTATTTGCCAATTTTGATAAATATTTTTAAACAAGAAGGTATCGATCTTTTTCAGTTTCATTTAGGCAGAAAACATCCATTTTGAATTTTGATGAACATTTGGTGGTACACCTTGATTATATAAACTAAAAACACGATTAAAAATTTTTGTTTAACGCTTACTTTCCAGTACTTCACTCCAATATTCTTCAATTCATCCAAACTGACAGGCTGATCAGGATCCAAGTGATATTCAAGACGTTGATCTTCCTTCGAAGATATATCTTCCATGTACCAAGATTTAACCATGATTTTTTTTTATCAGACACTACACAAGCAAATAACAACTTCTCCCTAAAAACTTTTGCACGAAACGCGTGATTTTGCGCATGCGCAAAAGTACCCGTTTAAATATTTTCGCATTAATTCTTTTTTTCAGTTTTTTTTCTTGCTTTATTTAATTCAATTCTTTATTTAACACAATGAAAATAGAATTCATGTTACGCTAATAATAATTACATTTAGTAGTCATGTGTAAGCTTAATCTTGTACAAGGCCACAAGTGTGGCTTGCCGAGTGATATTCGATATAGTTTTTTTTGTAAATGTGAAAATATGTATTTCATTTATGGGACTAAAAATGGTCAACTTCTAAAAATTTAGTGTTTCATGAAAGTAAAATTGTTGTCGGGGTGTTGAAGAGAGGAGTCCACTAACTAGAATTGTTTGAAAGATAATATTGACAAACTGAGTGAGAACAAACAACAAAGTAAAGTTCTTGATTTAAATTAAAGCCAAATTTTATTTTTGGCAACTAATTAACAACACATTTAGGAAAAGGATAGATGATTTCGTCAATGTGCTGAAAATATCAAACAACACTTAGAAGTACAAGGTGTGAAGAGTGTACATACAAAAGCATGTTGCGGGGCCGATAAGGATGTCGACCCCGCAAGAAAAGTGTGAACAGCTAAGACAATGAGGGGACAAAGGCAAAGGTTTAAGAAACAATAACGTCGATTTTATTTATCCAAAATGTACAAGAGTGAAATCTGGAGAAATATGTTTGTATCGGTGTCGGGTCCGGTATGACTGGTTTTGT